AATATCATTGAATGGATTCTAATTTCCGCATTGTTCCAACTTCATTGCTTTGATTTCTTATCTTTCTCACTCACATGTATGGTTACCTTTTTCCTATTTGTGATGTTACAGTTGTTTTAATATTTTATTATCTCAGTTTGGTGCTAATCTAAGGCCTACTCTTTTATAAATCTGAACCTATGAAATGTCTCTTCAAGATATTTAATTTGGATACTTGCTTGGTCGACTCGCTCTTACTATTCGTTCAGTTCCCAGCATATCTTCAATCCATTTTCTTCGTTTTCTATCGTCGTTCATTGAAGTGGTATATTACGACCACACTGCATCTGTTAGTGTCATGCTATGACATATGAGTAGTTTCCAGTAGAGAATAAAACTTGTTAATGTGAACTACAAACATATCCTTCTTGTAGGTGGTTCTAAAATACGCTTGGATCCTCTTGGAGTCCATTGTGTTGTTTCCTCTCGGTCGTCTTCTTCGCTGTTCTTATGGTCGGGCCATCCATATTTCTCTTTCGAGGTTAATTCCCATGGGTTTCAGAGGCTAGGTAATTTTCGAAACTTCAAACTGCTCAGTCCAGTGTCAACCTTCTTCTCAGCTGTAAATATATGTGCATTTAGTTTTGCATCCGGTAGTCGATCGATGTGAACTACATTTTTGTGATTTCTTATCTTCATTAAACGCTTTAGGTTCAGTTCTGGTCCATATTATTAAAGAACTAAACATTTCGATTTGTTTATTCATATACTTACGCCCAGTCCTTTAATTTTTTACCACTTCATTTAACTGCTTGAGTACCATCTATGGTTCAGTAATACATGATGTAGCTCGTCAGGATCGCCCACCTTCATTAACCACCTCAATGCGGCAGTGAATAGGCTAAATTGTGGTACTCTATAGAACTCTGATTTCAAGCTCTATTTCATGTGGTGTAGTGGGGTTTTTATGAAAAAACTATTTTTTTGGTGCAGTTGTGAAAATAGAAGGTTAAATTTCTTACATAGAGGAGTTCCACCCTTTCACTCGCAAACACTGGTAGGATGATATTACTTTCGAAAATGTTGCAAAAGTTTTCTCTACTTAGACGAAACGACCGTGCGTGAGGTTCTTCATTGGTCAGAGATCCATTCCTTCGGTGATACGTTGTGTAGCAAGAATTACGAGAAGTGCGTGAAATACTTCCTTCGCATGTAGAAGAAAGATACTTCAATCGTTTTTTTCTCGACATGTGCCACTGTGAGTCTCTTGCAGTTGTTTTTTGCAACTTTGCAGCCTACTTTTTTCACTGTAGTTGCAATATAATGTGGTCAGGTGTGCTTTAGTTTTTCTTTTCTCTTCTGGGCCTTTTTGACATGGTGCAGGTGCGATGTGGACGTCATAATTCGACGAATCGAAACGTATTTGTCGTCGCTCTTGAATCCTTCAAATGGCTCGTAGATTTCAATGAGACGCTTATTGATTATCATTCGTGTAGGGAGTGGATTTCCTTAAATTGTCGTCATTTTTTCTTGGGTAATGATAGAAGTTTTTCTTCCCAACTCGTAGTTGAATAGGAGGAAACGATGATATGATCCAGTACAGAATAATGCACTACAGACGTAGCGACTTCGTCTGACTGATGTGACTTTTCCGTAAAGTTAATGTAAAGAGTTATAGAGGAGTTAATGGACTACTGTAATGACTCACTGATTTCACTGTAAAATTTGTATGCAGTAGGTGAAAACTGTCTGTGAGCAGTAACTGAAAGACGTGTGTAGCGCAGTGGTCAGAAACGCCCGGCAATAGGCATGGGATCGTTCACCCAAGGCTCACCAAGTCTGCCATCCCTTCGGTAGGCCATCGCGAGTCATTGTGAAGGCCACTTATGCATTCAATCACCTCCAAACGTTGATTAATGAAGTCGAAGACATGGCGCATACCTTATGAAATGATCAATACTGAGGACTTTTATTTTATTTAAGTAATGACTACCACCTTTTCGTACGTAAGTGCTTTTCAGTCCTGTAATAACTTGGTGGTCATTGCATAATCTTTTCCACTTATTTTTTTTCCGTCATTTACTTATTGTTCGTTCTGCTTTTCCAGTCTTACATTCATGTCTCGTCCCTGTGCACATCTCTTTTTTTACACTTTTTTCGTTCGTTGCATAGTTGTTCGGTCTCTGTGGTGTGAACATCGTCGTTTCGAGACACAGCGTAAATTAGTCGTTGATAGGAAGGCAGAGTGGGATTACCAGTGCTGCTTAATAGTGTTAAGAAGACTACGCAATTAGTAATTGCCAAAACCGACTTTTTGTTAACTTAGATATTGATCAAATAATTCAAGACATTCTTGATGAGCAAACATGGGGAGTTACTTTATTCTTTTTTGACGGTAATACTGAAGTTTCGGCGGATTTTGCCTTCTTTGAGGAGCACTGCGGTAGTAGTCTAGGTAGCAAATCACCCTAACAATGATGTAGAGCATTATTTAACAGGTTTATGAGGGTATACGATGTACGATAGAAATACTGTTTATGTAACAATATTAGTGTAATCACAACAGCCTAAGTACTTACAAAACCGCTAAGAAAGACTGAGACAACGATGACGAGGTTGCGCTAGCAACGAGGAGGAAGATTCTGCCGAGTGGCAAAGCATCAGACATGATGATTCACTCATCACACAATGCATCAAAAGATATCGATGGATTTGGCGTAGCAGAATTGCAAGTAAAGGATTTGATGTGGCAGCGCTGACCTTTGTAAGATACTTATAAAAGATGGAAGTATTTGATGATTAAATGAGTTTCGAAGATAACTTCACCATTTTGGTGATGCAAGACTATGAGACTTCATTCAACATTATTCCGACGTAAGCAAAGCAGTGTAATTTTGAAAGAAAAAGATTAAGCGGGAGGAGTAATGCAATGTTTCACTCAGAAACTTGTATACTAGGCCCTTTCTGTGTTAATTATTTAAACAGTTTAAACATTTCTAAGGATTTCTTGCATCATTTGCGTCTACTTTTCAACTGCTTAGTTCCCAACTCTTCAATTCCTTGTAGTTATAATGTGTATATCATTTTTTATAACGGCCCACACAACATCTCCAGTTCTCTGACTGTCCATCGACTTCCAGAGCATGTTTTCTTACAGAGGCAAACTCTTGCATTCATTCTCTCCATTCGAATTAAACTGAAATACAACCACAATGCTGAGATATTCGCAAGAGTTGCACCGCGGGCTGGATCGAACCATGATTTCTTTTTCCGGGAGCTCGCGCATTGCACATTACGCCACGGAAGCCCTTGCTCTGCGTTTCTGTCAGCTACTTTTCTACCTAATGCTGCCAATCACTCGTTAGCGGGGCTGATGAAGGGAGCACAAACCAGCACTGAACCCAGTTAGGCTGAGGTTGTAGTCGAAATCACAGAGTTAGTCTTTTATTTTCTGTCTACCATAGTTTTTCACGGCGGGGGGTGTGTAATGTGCGAGCCCTCGGAAAGGAAAATTGTGGTTTGATCTGGTCCGTGGTCCAACTTTTGCGAATATCGAATATCAAAGCATCGTTGTGGTCGTAATTCACATCATACCCTGCCGTGAAAAATTAAAGTAGGCAGGAAATAAAGGGCTTACACTGTAAACTGGAATAGTTCTAGGCTTGGAACTCATGCATCTGCATTTTGAGTGCGTTATTACAGTAGATTTTTGATACTATACAGGTAGATTTCTTCTATGTGAAATGTATTTCGAGCGATGCTCTTTCCACTGGGTTTGATTCGATGCGACAAGGAATAATCACATCACGACAACGACCAGGTGTGGAAATCCACTCGAATCAGTTCGCCTTTGAAGAAGACGATGACGTCAAAATGTTAGCCGAATGAATCTTTTTGTCAGCGTCATGTTTGCTTAATAATCGGAGAAGGTATTGACTGTTTTTGCCAAAGTTTAATGAAAGTTGGTTTCATACCTCTCCAATATATGTCGGAATTTCACCCACCGACTAGATCTTGTCTAGATCTCTTTCATCTCATCTTGCCTTATCGCGCAAATGGATTTGTCTCAAGAGCATTGTTTTCTGGCATATAACTTGGGAACGAAGAGAATAAAATCTATGAGCAGTAATGTATAGTGTCTCAGTCGTGGTAGCCTGGCCTTCGATGAAGAGTACAAAACATCCTTTGTGTTCAATCTCAATGAACAGTTAGTCGAAAGTGGAGCCTAATTCGCCTGCCATCGACGTGGTTGAATTCCATGAAATTCAGTTATTTACCATCCAAAAATATGGGGACATGCTTATGTGAATATAAAAGATATTTTGGATATGTAAAAAAGGAATGACCCATAAAGAACAGAAAAATCGAATAGTGGGGTTTACTAGGAATTGGGCGTCATCTTCTATCTGTTTCCTTTCCTCCATTTTCCTCGTTCATATTTGTATTGCCTTGAGTTCTGTATTCTGGTTTGTTTGTGATAATAAGGTGTATTAATGGTTTGTAGTTTGTGAAAACACTACGGATTTAGAGCGGGAGGGAATCTTTAAGAATGGAGAACAGGCTTATTCACAAGCCAAAATTCCTGAGATATTCGTCTTCATTAATTTCCATTCAAGTCGGGCACTACCATCAACCACTGCCCCTGCCTAGGTCGCATATCTCAAAACATTCTTGTACAGAATGCACTTGGTTGAGACTATTGTGCTGATCGTATTGCAGCGTACTTAAATCTGATTGCTCAATGTTTGTTCATTGAAATATTTGTGCTTAACGCTTTCTACTCTGCCTTTACATTCGATTGTCATCTTCATATCATGGAGGTGTTATATTCTAGAAGTTTACGAGTTGTACAAATTTGAAAGATTTTTATTTGATTGAGAGGAATCCATATAGGTGGACACTACCTTGGATAATTATCACTTCGCTCAGGTCTACAACTTTTACGGTCTTTTACTTTTACTTTTACGGTTTGAATTAGTTTTTCTTCGAAGTACCTCTTGGTTTTTTTCGATCTTGAGTAGATGATTCATATTTTTCCTTTAAATTATTGTGATCGAATACTAGATTTCCAGGCTGGATGTAAAATTAATGATCTCTTTGTTGATATACGTGATGGTTTTTCACTCATTACGCTTCTCGAGGTTCTCACAAGTGAACGACTGGTACGCATGTTTTCTTTTTGTTTTCGTCAGGTTTATTCTTTATTTCAAAGTGAAGGAGTTCTTCGTTTTGTGACTTAATGGTGATAAAATTGGCCACATCGCTATTTAGCTTCGTGAGAACGGTCACACTCATTTTCACAGGATTCAGAATGTGCAATACTGTCTGGATTTCCTGAAGAGAAAGAATGTACGTGATTGTTTTTGTATGTTTGCTCTCTCGTAGTTTTGCTTGCGGATTCCTTTAAGCTACAAAGAAGTAATGCGGTTTAAACAAACTTTTCAATCAATGCTTTACAGACAATACCTTTCCTTTGTATTGTCTATATGTGGCAAGTATTGATTTGGAACATTTTCCTTTTTTTTCGAGAATAGCTTTACTTCATCGGAAGGTATAATTGAATTGTTAACAAAACGCTTAACACTGAGTTGTGGGGAAGGGCCACAGTCATCTTTCGGGGCGTTGATTTTACATTAATTGCTTCCGGCAAAAAACAACGATTATCGGAATTAATTTTATGTGTACGACTAAAAATATGCGGAGGAGATCAATTTCATTGAATGTTCATGATTTATGTGGTTTTTTCCTTGATAATTTTTATTCGTAGCTCTTATCCGCGTTATCGTTATGATTTGATAATGAAAATGTTTTGGTTTAAGTTTTACCTGTTTCTTTGATTTTTTTTTGTTTTTTTTTATTTGGTGGGGTTACTATAAGTTTTACTAATCAAATTTTTTTGTTAGATGTATTTTTATCTGTTTTTTGTTGCAGTATGTTGTTTGTTTTGGTGAAACCATTTTATTGAAAATAAAATATACAAAATTTGTACTACTATCTCCAGCATAGACAACACATTTTTAATTTTGAAAATTAATAGTTTAAATTAACTTAAATCTACAAAAAATTCTCAAATCACTTCCATAAATTTCACCTTGCCAACCCTAATTACAGTATCCAAAATCCTAGAAATAAAATAAAATAAATAAAATAAAGTTGGCAGATAAAAAACATTATCCTTCTAAAGCTTCCAAAAAACCTCACAAAAACCCTCATCATTAAAAACTGCAAAGAAATTAAAATAAAAGTAAAACGATATCCTTTGAAAATCAACATCAACAATCTAAAAAAATCCTAAACTCTTCGCAAAGCTCCACAAAAACTCAAATAATAACTCACAAATCTCATAAAAAACGAAGCACTACAACCAAATAAAAGAACAAAAATAAATGGATTGTTTTTTCGTTAGATTGTTGATGTTGATTTTTAAATGATATCGTTTTATTTTTATCTTGGTAACGATAAAACTAACAAAAAACAGTTAACTAACTAAACAGCTAACACAAACAAACTGGACTAACAACTAACACAGCCCAAACGAACAACCTTATATGCTCCAATGAAGTGAAGTTGATCTACTTCGCATATGCCGGAAGGAATTAATGTGCGCTTTTGTTTCACATCAGCGGATGTAATTCATTCTTGGGCTGTTTTTTAGGTCTTCGTTGTTTAGGAGGTATTATTTTTTCCATTAGTTTTTTTGTGGTTTATTATTATTGATTTTGGCTTCTTTTACTACCCTGCCAAACTCTACATTAAACCCACTTTCTCTCCGCAAAACCAAAAGGTGCTCGATTTATTCATAGTAAAGTCTTTTAAAACATTGGTAGTGATTTCTTCTGTGGTTTTTCAACTGAATTGTAGTCGGGTTGATAGTATCGTTTTTTAATGAATCTATATGTAAAACCAGACTAGGTAAAAACTAGCTGATAGACAGGCGAAACGAAGGACCCGCATGTGGTGGTGAACGCGTTACTTCCCGGAACAGACACTAGCGCTATCGTTCCCCACCGCAGCCACCTGCGGTCCGGAGTTTTGCAAATATCTCAGCATCATTGAACGTACGCATTCAGTTCACTGAGTGTTGCCCGCGGTGATGAATTAAGTGTAATCCCAAACAGCCATCGTTCAAAATTAGTTGTAATCGCGATTATATTAAAAGTTGTGTGACTGATTACTCAAATACTGAATAATTGAACTAAGAATAGTTTTAGAACGAATTTTAAATATTCAGTTAGCCTATGTTGCAACATTATGTGAATACATAAAGGATAAAGTTCTCGGTGTTGATCAATCCCTGAGGGGTGTACCATGCATTCAACTTCATCACGCATTGTTAGAGGGGATTGAACGCATGTCTGGCCTGTATAATGATTGGCGGTTGCCTACCGATGTATCGTATCAGTGCTACTATCCCAGGCAGGTCTGCTGTCAATTTGCCGACCCCGGATGTATCGAATGCTTGATGAGCTTGGAGCGAGGGTTCGAATCCATTTATATTTCACTAACCACTGTGGTGGTTTAAAAACACTTTGGACTGGCTGCCAAATTTTTAGTTGCAATGGATTTTTTTCAGATAAAGCTTGTAAATATCCGACCTGAGGATATTGTCGAGGGAAATGGAAAGTTGACGCTTGGCCTAATATGGACCATCATCCTGAACTTCCAAGTGTCTGTGATTAAACCACGCCATTTAGACGAGCGACCTCAGTCAGAGTCCCATAGCTCATCGCAGGTATTTGCTTAGCAGCTAACGACTTTTTCAAATTGTAATTATTTAATAACGCGATGAGTTGGGCGGAAATTTATACTGTGGAAGCGTTCAAATACTTCTGAAGAATAAAGTGCATTTAACGGCAACACCGATTCTGTTTATCACAGTTAACAGTGCTGGGTTTTTGTAGTTAGAATTGTGGTAGTTTTGAAATATTTTGTCTTGTTAGAAAACTACCTAATTCATGTGATAACTGCATCAAATAAATAATAGTTCTTAAAAAAATTTATCATGTGCGTATGTCATCGTTGACAGTTGGTATTGTGCATAAAAAAATCGGTCAGTTGGAGTTATAGACATTTGTTCTAGAAGTTTTCTTGTAAGTCTTAACTTATTTACGCTCATTCTCTTAGGCTTTCCGCTTCACGCTGTAATTACTGAACATCCCTGTCTAGAACAATATTTATGACTGATTTCTCTAATATTCATCAATAGATGCTTGTACATTGACTGGAGGCAATAATTCCTGTTCGCCATTGCTGCATATTTTTGTGTTATCACCAACATTCTTGTCTTTTCATTTAAAATGAGTAGGGTGTGGTTAAGAATCTTCCATCCAGTATGAGTAGCCGAAAAAGGTGATGTGTCCGGTTAGCGAAAAATTCGTCGTTTTCTTCTGTTGTCGACCACGCCCTATTTGCACTTAGGCTAAACTTTTTCGTGGAACCGTTGCGCATTCATGATGACGGACGGAGAGAGCGCCAAAGAGCCATGAATTCTGTAAAGTATACTACAGCATTAATAGAGATAATACAGCAGAAAAGTCCCTGGAAAGTCTTGATTGCATTGTTAGACGACTTTGCTCAGTGTTTTTTTTTAGTTTGCTAGGTATCCCGATAATAGTGTTGGTTCACGCACGTAATTTGTGAGACCGGTTGACTCTCGTCGGAGCATGTTAAGCTGAGTGATACCTTAATATAAGAGGAATCGAAATTGGCCCAAAGTCTTGAATCTCTCGTCTCAGTTTTTTTTGTTTGCTTGTTCACTTTTATTGTGGTAAAAATGTAGACTAGTGATAATCTATATGGAATAGTAATGATAACAGTAGTGATCTAACTAGATGGAATGTTGTGAATTCGACCAGGTACTTCTTTAGACACACATGGGGCACGAAGATATAACGGTGACGGTTTTGAGACGGTAGTCATAATTTTGTAGTAGGAATGAAGAGCATCAGTGCGCTAAACCCATGATGTTTTTTGGATATTAAACTAGAATGTCATACGTTTTATAAATACAGAAATGAATAGAAAGGGAGAATGCGTGACTGTCAAATGTGATATGGCGCCTAATCTCAAATTGATTTTCTGATATTAGTAAGGTTCTCATAGGTTTTCTTTTTCTTTTAGGTTTTCTCATAGTGTGTGAACAAACAAAACCGTTGAACTTACTTTATCTAAGGGGATAAACGGTGGACCTTCCTTAGTAGGTAGATTATTGTATTGAATTAGAGAACTTAACTGAATAGTGAAAGATAGTATTGTATATTAAATCCGGGCGCCGACGAAGGCGAAATCGCCGAAACGTTAACCATCGTGTTTGATAAAAAGATATTAACATCGCGCTAGCTTAAATAAATAGGGTTCGTAAGATATTATTAGTTATTCATTGCCGTGGTTAAGTAAACAATAGTCTTTTGAACTATCATATTAAGAATGTTTTATGCCGAGTAAGTTTTGCGGTAAGGAACATACTTTTCAAAGTTGCATTCGGGACACATAAGGGAGTTTCGAAAGCAAGAAACTCTTCACCATCCAGAAAAAATCAGAGTTGGATATACATTTAACGCGTAGGATATCTTTGTTTCGATACTGCTGTGTTAAACCTCATTGATTTTGGTAAATTGCTGGTAAATTGCAGTGGTTTTAATTAAACTAGAATGTCATATTTTGCTGGATTGAGGCCCTGTGCATCTTTTAAAGCGTCAGGTTGAAATATATTGTCAGATGTTTTTATCACACTGTGAAAATTTCCATCTTGAGGGTGGTGTGAATTGCCGATGGCAAGTGATCGATAGCACTCACTGAGAGAGGCGAAACGAAGGGCCGGCATGGTGTGGTGGTGAACGCGTTACACACCGGAAAGGACAATAGCGCGTTCGTTCCCTACCGCAGACACCTGCGGTCCGGAGTTTTGCAAATATCTCAGCATCATTGAAGTTGTATTTCGCAACATACCCTGCCATTAAAAAGAATAAGCAGTAAATAAAAACGTTAAGGGTGTGAATTGGATTCACTTTCGTGGTGTTTTTGACAGCTTCGACACGTATGTACATAGACACTTACGTGAAGCAGGAACTACTCGGTATTGGTCTACTTTGCACATATCAAGGAGAACGAGAATGTTCTCATCTACAGAGCAGGAGAACTAGTATTTATACATTAATCGAAGTATCGTCGAAACAGGGTCTCCATGGCACAGTGTTTAATGCGCGAGGCCTGAAAGGGAAATCATGGTTCGATCTGGCCCGGGGTCCAGCCTTAGCGAATATCTCAGCATTGTTGTGGTTGATATCGTCGAAATAATTCGTACGGTTTGTTCTACAATGAAGAATTACTGCCCATCGGGAAGTGCACTGCACCAGTGGATAGTTTTTAACATATTGCGATTTCTGTAAATAACAAAGGAGTCTTATACATATGGATATTAGGTTATATTTACTAGTAGTTTACTCCTTATAAAGTGAATTGTCGTAGTTTTACATTTGATTTCACCAAAATGGGCACATTGGCAATTGCATCTCGTTGCTCCATCTTTCCTGTGACAATCGATCTCTCACAACCAATGTGATCTTCACAACACCCTACGAGTTTAGCGCACTTTTGTTGATCATGTGCACTAGTGCTGCACGGAACGACGCCAGGCTGTCTTTTTTCAGCCTTCGGCAGAATGTCGTTTTCGAACGGTTTTCTTCTGAAGTGGTTTATTCACTCATCTTGAAATGCTGTCAATGATGTCATCATGCTGAGGGATGCCTTGCATATAGGCATCGTTTTCACTGTGATCCCCTTTGGAACACCATTGCGCCAGCGCAGTGTCTGCTTTTGTAATGTACTGTTGCAATTTTCGAAACCAGAACACTGGTGGAAATATGTGTGCGACCATATTCTTCGATCCCTTTCGGCATCTGCAAACGCGTCCTGTTGAAGCTGTCGTCGACGTTTTTTGATTACTGTGTCGTTGAAGAACAGGCGGCCGCTGTTGCGCTGGAAACAGGTCGTGGCGCTACGATTGCGGCGGATGGGGCGGCCCTTAGTGATGGGGCGGGTGCGCCTTCGCCATTACAAACCCATTCCTGTACTCGCTGTGACGCGTGGAATGTCACTGCTGGTCTAGCTTTTCTATTACTATTTCTTGTTTCTGCAGTACTAATCATGTACAAGGTGCTACGATCATATTCGAAAAAGGCGGAGCGTAAACAGGAGGTTTCTCGTGCTACTGATCGTAACGGCTATGTAAGCGGTGGTGGCACCAGCTATCATGGTGAAGCTCGCCACAATGTCAAGGGTCATAGCGGTCATTCAATGAACGGACAAATGCTTGCTGTAGATAATAGACATCTTAGCAATGCTCATGCTGGACAGGGGTTTTCGGAGAGCAGCTCATACGAAACACGGGAGCATTTCGAACGGAAAGTGCAACGTGTGAAGAAAACTCGTGGAGAGCGTGAACGTTCCCGCAGCTCTCGTCGTGGCGAAGAGGTACTAGGAGCTGTTTTTTCTTATATTACATAATATATCGAGTAGCTCTTGTTCGTAGTATCTCTTGCACCTGTATACCACAATTTCTCGAACAGAAAAGTCAAGCGTTGGTATAATTCCCAAGACCGACTTTCTGTCAACTCGGTATTGATCAATAATTCACGGTTTTTTTTAAATGACCAAACACAGTGCTGTTATGGTTGGTTGGCTGTCTATATATATATATATATATATATATATATATATATATATATATAGACAGCCAACCAACCATAACAGCACTGTGTTTGGTCATTTAAAAAAAACCGNTTTTTTTTAAATGACCAAACACAGTGCTGTTATGGTTGGTTGGCTGTCTATATATATATATATATATATATATATATATGAGCTTTGTTCATGTGTATGTGGATACACATATATATGTATATATAATGCGTGTTGGTGCAATAACCTTGTATTCTCTGGCGTGCGCACCTAACCACCTTGACCTTTCTTCAATGTTATTTGCAGTTAGATCCATTATTTTCGTTGATGATCGTGCTGAATGCTGGCACATTCATCACTGTTTTGGCGACTGTCTTCAGTCGAGCTGTTCTTGCACTTAATAGTTGGAAAAGAACCGTTTCTAATCATTCCTTAAATTCCTTCTCGTTTTTGCTACGAATTGCTAATTTTGAGTTGGCATTGTGTAGTGAGTGGCCTTCGTATCATATGCCTTATTGGAAATAGATAACTGGAACGAAGACGTTTGATCAGAATCTGGTTTTGGAACCTTGATTGCTTCGCGTTGCTGGCCACACCCTGTTACAGTGGTCGATCGCAAAGAGTTAGTATATTGAATTGGTAGTAGACGTGGAATGCCACTCTTGTATTAGTTAAGAAATAAATATGTGACTTTAAGAGGGATTGCACTATTTTTTTTGAAATTTAAATGATTTTTTATTACGATTTCTTACCAACTAAAGTTGCCAACAGCTCCTCTTCTTCCTCTTCCCCTCCCCTCTCCTCAATCTACATATAGACTGCGAAGATTTCCAGCTGTTCTGTTTTTATGGATAAGTGAACAGGCTTAGCATCATGACAATACTTTAAGGTGTTGTGGCACAATGTGTGAAGAGAAATAAAAATGCTTGTTGAGAAGTTAGTAACAGTAGATATGGTTCAAGAACTGTCTATTAGTTTTTAATCATACTGGTTTTCCTAAGCTGTTCTCTGCTTTTCTGATAATGACACAGGAAGTGCTCAGTGGCCCTGCTTTGACATCAAAATCTTTAGGTTTCTGAAGCAATACATTCCACTGATGCCTTCTCAGCCCGTGATGCTTTGCTGCAGTGGGCTCGAAAGGTAAGCATTACCATTAAATCGGTCCCGAATACGTTTTATTTTTCCATTTTTTTTGTTTCTGTTTAGGTAACAAGTGGCTACCCTCGCGTGAATGTAACCAATTTCTCATCGTCTTGGAAGGATGGCCTCGCATTTAATGCCATTCTCCACCGGTATAGACCAAACCTAATTAACTGGAATAAGGTAGATCTTATTACATCTTTTTATCTTTATGGTTTCTATACGGTATTTTATATTTTTGTTTGTGGTATTTTAGAAGTAATACATTATTATGCTTAGCTAAAAATGATCATTTGCACGCTGTAGAATATATGAATGGACTAGCTACATCTATATGTACATAAATACGTGTACACACATGTATATATATGTACATGTATATGTACATATGGTGGACGTTGCGCAGTAGTTAAAGGTGTCCTGTAATACATACGTGGTCATTGGTTCGATTTCGCGTCCTGGCCTCACCAAACTCTCCATATCTCAGGGGTTGGTAAATTGGTACCAGTCTTGCGTAAGAGGATAAAAACACTGGTTTTTTATATCGGTAGGCTAAAGGAGGTCACTCTATAGGCTAGATATCCATTCAATCACGTCTAAGGTGTTTATTGAAGTCGAATGCATGGTGTATCCGTCAGGGATTAATCAACGCCGATCGCTTCATCGTCCTTCGACGGTATCCCTTATTGTTAGCCTATAGAGAAATAGACAATTGGATGGTCCTGTGGGGAGTCGTGCGAGAGCCTTGTATGCATAGAACCGCATTTCTACCATAGTTAGGAGAGTTATATATATGTATGTATATGTACATATATGTATGTATGTACGTATATATATGTGTATCTGCATACATATATATATATATAAGACACTTAGCAATGGTTAAAAGCGCTTTGAAGTGCACACAGCATCGCTAGTTCGTTCCAGCGCCGGGTAGACCAAGTCTTCCATCTCTTCGATATCGGCAAATCCGTGCATGTGTTAGAGAACAAAAACTGTAATGACGCATCGATTGGCCACCGGAAAGCATTGTATAGGTCAGATATGTGTTGAATCGTCTTTACCATGCTTACTGAAGTGGACTTAGTGGAAGATCGCTGAGGGAGTGACCATTGCCGAACGCTTATCTTTATGTATATGTGTATGTACATATATATATGCGTGTATTCATAAACATACGTATAGTATTAATGAACATCTATACACTTTGCGTCTCATATGCTTTATCTACGTATGTACATATATTTATTTAATTATTCCTGAAGCTTAGTGGTCTAAAGAATGACCATGAGTGACATCATTCATCTGTTAAAAATTTGATCTCGATGAACATGGTGTAGACCTGTTAACATATATTTACAGGTTAGTGATAATTCGGTGTCAAACATCGAACGTTTGGAAAATGCATTTGAAGTAGCAGAGAGAGAATTCGGTGTCGATCGTTTGCTCGATCCCCAAGACGTTGATAATGATCACCCTGACGAGAAGTCCATCATCACCTACGTATCTTCGCTTTATCACGCTCTGCCACAGCTTCCTGAGTTATCGAAGGCACGTTTCCCACTGGTTCCTGCTTTATTATACCCTCTTTTGAATATATGACGATGTAGCTTATTCCCATCTTACCATTTTCTGTTACTATTGTACCAAATCATTGTTTTGGGGTTTCATATTGAGTTCGAAAAGTCGTGATTAATACTGTATAGAATTTCGTGATGGAGAACATCACCACTCGAGAACAAACTGATAGCACTGTTTTTAGGTTACGTTTGAGCTTGTTCTCAAAAGGCTCACTTCCATCAAACATTTTATCCTTTGTTTGGTCACATGTGCCATTATCAAACACATCTCATTGGTGATTTCCGCTTTCAAATTTTCAGAGCAATCTGACGGACTTAATCAGCAGATTGTCTCGTGGCATAGGAATTACGAATGAGAAACTCGACCTTATTCTTAACCGTCAGTGATTTTTTTTCTTCATCTTTGTCCGCAATTTCGTTAAGCCATGATGCATACTTATTTTTACAACTTTAGGCATTGAGGACGTCGAATCGCGAGTGGACATGGCTCGTCCTGGTGAAATCGAGCGCACTGTTAACGAGATTGTTGATGACCTCAATGCTTTGGAGATACCTATTGGGGGATTCTTCGAGGATGTAGAAGAGCTGAAATCACACAATCACCCGGAAGCCAATGATTTCTATCGACAGTTAGTTCTATTGATTCATTGCTTTAAAATATTACCATTAATGGTTATCGTTATACCGAAGAAAATTCTGTTAGAAACGGTCTCCACATTTTAAATATTACTAAGCTAAGGAAATATTTGGATTTCATTGATCACAGGAGAAGCTGAGGTAGTATATCTGTCTGAAGTGATGAATTTCGTTTAGAATATACGGCCTTCATCAGCGTCGCACGGCTTACTTGGATCGCCTCACAAATCAACTGTTGGTACGTCTTGGTGTACGTACTGAGGCATTGAAAAAGGAAAATGCAGCCCGGCTTGAGTCGATTCGCACCACTTCCTTTAGTAGAGTACAGGAATGCATCGAATGGGTCCGCGTCCGCCTGGTATTCCAGTTATCTTTCCATTTTTTCTACTTAATAGTTTGAAGCAGCAATGGTTTCTACTAAGTTGCATGTATATTATAGGTGAAACTCTCCGAGATGGAATTTCTAGAAGATTTGGAAACGCTAGAAGATATGTTTGAGCAGCATAAGCTAGATAATAGGGATATTCAGGATTTCCGTCAAAATGTCGACGAATGCATAGCACGTCAGGTGAACACATCGTTATTCTTTAAACAAGAACCTAAAGCTGTGTTACTTGGCTTCAAAGTTGATTGCAAAGAGTGAAACGTTATTAGGTATCTTATCAACTAAACACCACCGCGTTTTATTATTCAATATTTTTCCGAATAAATTCTACGTTAAGTTGTACAAAAGTTTTACACGATTAGTTCCGTTGTCTTTATGTAGGTAAATGGTGAAAACTATTTAGTTCGTAGTTTTACTGAGATCCTAGAACGAAATAACGAGCATTTAGTATCCATTGTCGAATTTATTGCACTATGTGCTGCGTGCGGTCGTTAGTGCTGGTTAAGTTACGGTAATGTGTACCTTTGACTGACATCCGACTGGTTTTGGGTGTTTGTGTATAGTTGTGTGAATCTCAGAGCGGTGCTTGCACAAAAGGTTATACCTGCCGTCATTCACTGAAACTGTTCGTAAGAGACGATGATTCATTAGGACCCATGCTGGTGCTAAACGAATATCAATGTTGTGTATCGTTAGAACAAAAATCTAATTCTCCGATTATGTATAAACTTTTCGGAGTAGTCTTATTGGTTATCAATCTAATAAAGCTGCTTCAAGGAAGAAAGTAGTAAAGTTAGGCAAAATTCACAATTGTGTGTATTTTTATACAGAACGTTTTTTTCAATTCGAAATAAAAGTATTATCGCTAGGCTGAAGTATCTGCGGAAGACACCTATGAATATTGCGAGCTTCTTCGTGTACTTGAATCTGAGTACCAACAACTGAGAGATCTGTCTGCAGGACGAATGCTTGATCTGGTGCGGGTCTTTGTGTTTTTACAATAGGCGATTTTTATATTCCGCGTTTACTCTCTGGTATTGATTAGAATGCATTTCTTCAGAATGAAGACTGGAATTTTATGGTTTTATGAACTCTTCCATTAGCGATAGAGATATATATGATTTGTTTATGTGGTTCATACGATTGTTTGACTATGTTTTATTAACTCCAGATATATTTCAGGATTCATTGATTGCTTTTGTACGAGCTGCTCAACTAGAGCTGGTTTGGGTGTCTGAGCGGGAAGGGATCGAAGTCACTCGCAATTGGTCTGACATAAAACAGCTTGACTTGCCGATGCTTACGAACTATTACAAACAGGTTAGCTAACTGGTTATTATTTCAAAATATGCAAAATTTTATTTCATGAAATTTTTGAGAAATGTTCTATTGGCTATAAATGAAGTCCGTCGTCGACGATAATTGTACGGTACACCTTAGTCAATGACAGATGCTGAATCGCTTTTTCTCCAATATTCTCTAGATACTTCGCTACCATGCTCACATTATGTGCTAGATAGAGGGGTTGAGTTACAGAATCCCTCAGTCCTAGAGTAGAAAGTACCAAAAGACTACAAAGTGACTGAGCTTTGATGTTAACAGTTAATTCATACTTGAATATGTGGACGGTACGTCTTCATGAATTGTGCGGACCCCAGCACATTTACAACACATTTCTTTCTCTTGCAATCGTCGTCCATGGTCGTGGTTTTATTCGAGCATCGTGGCACTTGCGAGTCTTATGCCGTGATCTGTAAAGTAACTACAGCCGCGAGTGCAGCCGATTAACTTTGTTTACGAACACGGCCGACCAACGTGTAAGTGGCTGTCCTAGAGGACGTTTGCATTCTCATGGAGTCCACTCTACAGTTTTTTTCGTCCATCTGTCGTCTGTTCTTCTCGTTATGTGGCCACCGGCCCATCTGTGTTTCGCTATCGATGTGTATTCTCCTGATTCCCGAAGATGTGACAGATTTGGAAGATCGGAGCTTCGTATTCCGGTTAGATATTGAGAGTGCCGGTTATATATCAGAAGACATCGTTCAAGCACTCTGTGAGTAGTGTAGAATATTCTTAACATAGTTGGAATATTACCCCACGTCTCCGCAGCATAACAGCGCTGGGAGGACTACTGAGTCGAAAAGGTGAGCGCGGATTTTCGGGTCCTTCACTTGGTCGGTGGCTTTTTCGAAAGGTCCTAATCCGGCCCAAGCTGCTGTCCTTGTGTCTAATTCCTCCTTCATGTTGTTTTTCATGTCCACTTATTGATTGCGCAAGGTATAGTGGTGTCTGCAATCAGAGAACCGTCCAGTTCAATTTGTTCGCCTCCGCACAATGGGTTGTTAATGAAGTGGGTCTTCTTCCGATTTATGCGTAGTCCGATCTTTTTTCCCGGTTTCTTGGGTTCATTGATCATCATTTCTGCTTCGCTGGTACTTCTTGAGAAGATGACGACGTCGTCGGCGAAACGAAGGTTTGATGGGAATTTTCTATCAATACCTATGGCTTTCTGATCCAAATCGAGTGACTTCATTATTGCGGCACTAAACAACTTTAGAGATATTGTGTCGCCTTGTCGAACCGCTTTTCCAATAGGTATGATAATGATCAATGAAGAAACTGTGTATTTATGCTGCAGTTCCGGTAAGTCTGCTAGGATTCGTATATACGGGTCCACTCCTTGGTCGACGAGCACTGGTAGGATTGCATTCGTTTCGACAATGTCACACAATTTTTGGTATTAGGCAAAAGCTAAGATTAGGGGCTGGTGCTATTTCCGACAAACCTCAGTGACCCTGGACACAGTTTGGATGAGTCCATGAAGTAGAATTCTTGTCGAATTATTATTGCGCTTCAGTGTCCTTAATATGCGCTTCTATATGTCCTCGATATGATAATCTTCGTGAAGAGTTTGTAGAGGACACTCAAAAAGCGTATCGGAGTGTGGTTACGAGGATCCCCCTTTTTTTGAGCAGGATGACCCTGCGCGAGGCCCTCCACTGGTCTGGGATTTTTCCCTTTTGAAGGTAGGCTGTCATGTGGTATGTGAGAATTGAACAGATTAAATTTAATCAGTTTAGTTATAGATACTAGATCGATTTTTATTAGTTATAACACTTTCATTGGAATTGGGCTTTTTAGCTTCTTCATGAAATGGAATTGCGTGAGAAGCAATACAACGATGTACACAACCAAGGAGCTGCCTTGCTCAATCAAGGTCATCCTGCCGTGCATGTGATCGAAGTCTACTTGCGAACGATGCAAAATCAATGGGATTGGCTGTTGGCATTGAGCAAGTGTCTTGAAGAACACCTTCGAGATGCCTTGAACCTCAAATCGGTATGGTCTTTTCACAGAATAGAACTTTTAGTGAAAATAAGTTTTGTGCTCTTTTTAGACTTTTGTTTTCTAGGCGGTTACACCATTTATCTACTTGAATTTAGAAGTCTGTTAGCTTTGACCAAAATTGTTGTAGTGAACACAGGATATGAGTATATTCTTCTTTTATGAAGATTTTCTTAATATTAGGTCTTATCGTGAGAGACGATGTTTAATTTTTGCTTTCATTCATTTAGTTCACTGAAGAGGCAGCTGATGCTGAAGTATGGATGGAAGAACAGGTAATTCGCTTGGAAAACAATTACAATCGCACCGATTTCGATTTAGAAGAGGGTGAACGACTCCTGAGAGAACTTGATGAGATGAAGGTATTATTGCCTTGATCTAAAGAAATTTAAAAATCTTTTTAGTAGTGCTTCAGTGGAAATTAATGGAATGTTCATAATGGAAACATTACTTATTGCTATTCGATGACTGATTAGCTTTATTACAGGAGATTCTGAACAAGTATCATTCGGTGCTGATGGCTTTAACTGAGCGTTGCGCCACAATTTCACCACTTTGGCAAAGAGGAGAGCGCATTTCTCGTCCGATCGCAGTTACTGCACTGTGTGACTACTCCGACAAAAACGTTAACATCAAAGCAGGTGAACTTCTGTGTGGTTTTGTACCCTTTATGACGATTAAAAAAGCATTGATTTGAAATTCTCTGTTAAGGAGATGAAGTAACATTGCTGGACAATTCTGACCTAATAAAGTGGCATGTTCGTGATCTTTCTGGAGCCGAGGCAGTTGTTCCCTCTGTGGTGTTCCGAATCCCACCTCCTGATCCAAAATTGACGGCGTATCTTAATCGATTATTGCAACAGTTTGAGAGAATAAAGAAATTGTGGGAGAAGAAACATCGTATGGTTCGCTTCAACATGGTACTCAACACTATGAAAACTATCCAGTATGTTGAATGTTTAGTTCGCTTCTAAACTTCGACAGAAGAATTAAAAATGGATTTAAATAGTTTCCGGTTTTTGAAAAATTAAGTTTTAGAGGCTGGGATCTGGATACATTCAATGCCATAGATCCAGAACAACGAGATGCAATCATGCGCGCTCTTAATGACGATGCCAATAAGTTATTAGCAGAGATGGATCCGAACGATCCTCTCGCTCTTAGACTCAAGGAGGAACTCAGGCGAACCAACGAACACTTCTGGGATCTGTTGAATGCCAGTCAGAAATCGCCAGGTATCAGACGCACTCTAGCATTGAATAACACTGTGTTGTATGTTCTGCTCGTGTTTCAGAACCCGACCACTCGAATTTGTTTGATAGTCAGATTGGTGACCTCCTGAGAAAGTTGGAGGACGCTTGGCGGAAACTCAACAATAATGCAGGGAAACCAATATCACGAACACCAATTGAACTCGAGAGTGTAATAGTGGATCACAAATTGTTTGAAGATAGTTTGCAGGTAGAGAATCGTAGTTCTCTAGTGGCTACTATAAAATCTATTTACTGTTTTCTCGCATATAGTTATCCATTTGAATATTTAACAAATCTGCTTAGGGTCTTGATGCGGACGTAGCGAATGTTAAAGAATTGTTCCGGCAGTTGCGGAATCCCACACCCACCCAAAGGGTCGCCAGTGATCGTCTCAACAGTCTTTGGGAAGATCTCTGGGACCTGTCTCGTATGTATGTCGAACGTATAAAGGTTAGTATGTTGAACGTATAAAAATCAGATTATGGTTGGCTATGGATGAGTCGCGGTAACCGTCATCTTCACAGGTGTTAGAGTCTGTTCTGAACGGCGTTCTTGAAGTATCTGACATTGTTAGAGCGCATGAAGTCACTTTGAATTCATTCGATGATCTGCCGGCTGCTCTTGACAAACTTCGTGGTCATCATTCCCAACTTCTGGAAATGAATATGGTTTTGCAGGTAGAGTTTTCAAAATGTACTGCCAATGTCATCTATGGATTTCATGCATCACTTTCAGCAGCAGCAAACTGTAGTTGACGCACTAAACAGGAATGTGGCTCTTCTGCGGCAACACGTTGCTCGCACTCGCATTGGTCAGAGCAGGTAATCAATAATAACTATGTGGAAATAAGTTAATAATCGAATTGGTATCTTTTCCTAACATTATCAATTGCGACGTTTTTTATTTCTTGTTCCAGTCACCCCGATGTTGATAGAGTGGAGGAGGAAGTTCAACAACTCAACGTCCGTTGGGAAAACGTCTTTGCCCAGGTTTCCGAACGACTAAAAGCTGCAGAACGTGCACTTCAAACACAAATGGTTTATAGGTGGGCAATCTAAGCTTTCCCTTATTTTCTCTTCTCGTTCTTTCTTTGTTTTCGTTTTGTTCATATACATTTCCTACCTCTTCCTCCCTTCACCAATGTTTTAATATTTTGTATATTTGACTTTTCGTGTATACATAGTTCTAGTGAATTATAGAAGCGAATACGATAATGAAATGGCATGGCTTGATCGTGTCGAAGAAACCATCAGCAAACTGAGAAAACCGGAGGATTTACGTCCGGAACAATATCAACAGCAATTGGACCTTCTTGTCGCAGAATACGCTCAACTCCAAGAACGCACAGAAGCCATTGAGAATGTGAATCGTGAAGGTGGAAAGTTTATACGTGAAGCGAAAGTGAGCGATCTTTTTCTATCTGTTGTGCAGAACAAAATAAAGATTAATCAGTTTAGGGTTATGATAGTCGTATGGGACAGTTTCACGACAGTATAGTTGGTATCCATGGTCCAACCATTAAACAAGAATTTCGTCGCAGCAAACCTCAACCAAAGAATGGTGCTCAGATCGTTACCGAGGAGTTGGAAGCATTGAATAGGCGATTCGCGCAATTGAGCAGTCTCATCCTTGAACGGCGTAACACCATGCAGGTGCTTATTCAGAACTGGAAGCGCCAAAAACAGGTACACACAGTTTTCCATCTTATTTTCCATCTTACAAGTAGTAAAACACATCTGTCGGCGATTTAGTTTATCATCTATCACATGTTTCGTTAAGCAAAAAATTAACTGATGTCGTTAGTGTTCAGTGCTCATTCCCAGCTTTTTTTCATTTGAAAATCGCTGATGCAAGTGTTTTCTTTATGGTACAAACGGAAAATCACCGCTCTTGTCCACTGATACAGTGTTAGTCAATTAACCGTTGTGCCCACGTCACTGACTCCCATTATAAATCATACATTTAATTACTCCTAATTGTCGTCCATCAAATAATCCAGCTACCAGTCTGCCATTTAACTAATTTCTGCAATGTACATCATATAATATTTTCAACTTCCCCTAACGAAGCTCCAGGCTAGCACGTTTTGTGCAGCTTTAGTTAGAATCGTAACGGAAAGTGTCGTTTGTAATGCGCAACTTCGATTGTTTTCAGTTTGCTATGTGCTGTTATACGCTGTACATTTCCGTTTTCATGCTTATGGCTATTTTCTGTCCTCACTCTTTCTCCGTTCACTGTAGTTCTTCCATGTGTGTGCTTCCTGCTTTCACTTCAGTGGCGGCGGGGATTTTCCTAGACGCTTTGTGATCAAATGTCGTGTTAATGTGAGTGGATTACTAAATGAGCACGGACAGCGCACTTTACAGGAGGAGGATGACAAAAGGAAAGCTGATGAGGACGCTAAGAGGCGCGCCTTTGAAGCGGCTCGTCTAAAAGCCCTCGAAGATGCGGATCGGCTAAGGAAGGAAAGAGAAGCTGCGGAAGCAGCACGACAAGCCGCAGAGGATGCAGATAGAGCGAGACGACTTGCTGACGAAGCTGAAAGAGCAAGAAGAGCTGCAGAAGAAGCCGAGAGACGTCGACGAGATGAAGAACGACGACGGCAAGAAGAAGAGAAGGAGAGAAAAAGGAGAGAGGATGAAGAAAGACGAAGACGTAATGATGAGGAAAGACTCCGTAAAGAGGTAGAAAAGGTCAGTGTTTTAATACTGTGTGAGCTGCCTTCGAGTTTGAAGTGGCTTTAACAAATATGACTTAAACGTGTTTCTAGTCCTTGGTCTCCGATACTCATTATACTCTTTGAAATCGTCGCGATGATTGATATTAGTGTTTGCAGATGCCACCTCTCAACATCCTGCAAGGTAACCAGTTGCATGAAGTCGTCGGCCAAGAGAATCCCGACGAGTGGGAGGTGATGGGTGATCTTCCAGACGTGGCAAAAATCACAGAGCATGAAGATGAGATGCAGATGTATCAGGAAGAGACGGTGACAAAGACGCAGTTTTACGAAATGGAAGGTACACTTCACAAGCAAACTGGAGAGATCCTTACTTTCGTAGAGGCAGTTCGCCAAGGACTGCTTGATCTAAGCTCTGGAGGTGGACAATTCTTTGATATTCATTCCGGTCGTATAAGCCTTGAAAAGGCAGTGGAACTTGGATATATTGACGGAGCATTTAACGATGTGCTCAATACTCGGTACGGCATTCGTCATCCTGAAACGGGAATAGATCTAACACTCCTAGAAGCGATCCAGATAGGTCTCTATGACCCTGAAACAAGGCATTTATACGATATTCATACCGGCGACATGCTTGAATTGTATGATTGGGTGGCGAGAAATATTGTCACAATGGACACTCAGAGGAGGCTTGTAAAGATGGGGATTTTGAAGTTACCTCCTATGGGGCTTCATAATGCAATCGACCAAGGTGTTCTTAATACTGTTTCTGGACAGTTTATCGGGAAATATTCGCATGAATCAATGCCTATCAGAGATGCCCTCTATCACGGCTACCTACAGCTCGTTTCTCCTCAGCAAATTCCAATGATTGCTATCACTTTGACTGATGTTATCAAGGAAGGGTTCGTGAACGCGAACAACGGTGAATTTGTTGATAAAAACACGAAGGATTCCTTCACTTTGAGGGAAGCTTGTTCGAAGCAATTTGGCCTGCTGAATCTTTATGTACCTGAGGTGGTAAATACGGCTGATAATACTCGATTGAACCTGAAGGATGCCATGCTTAGGAATGCGATTAATACTCGAAACGGAAACTTCACTGACTTGCAAACACGACGTACTTTGTCCCTGCGTGAGGCTTACCATGATGATTTGATTTCTAAACCGTACACATTGACTGAAATGTTCGAAAAAGACCTTATTGATTCGACCAATCACTTCATTGACCGTGGAACTAAACACAGACACACAATATTAGAAGCGATTGCTGCTGGCCTTTTAGACGCTGAAGTTCGACACATTGTTGATCCCGACGAGAAGGACGTGATTTCCATAGCAGAAGCGATGGAAAGAGGAATACTTGGCGCTAATGGAAATATAATTCTCGAAAGACAACAGAAGGAGTTCACTATTCCTGAAGCTGTTCGGGAAGGACTTCTCACTAAACGGGTTCGCCACAGCATTTTTGATGTTCGAGGCATTCAAAATACGCGCACTAACAAGACGATGAATTTCAACGAAGCATGTGAAGTTGGTGTTATAATACCTAACGCTGAGCGTGTTGTTGATCTCGCCACTCAGGATAGCTACCTAATATCCGACGACAGGGCAATTGCGATTATTGACCAAACACTTCATGAACTTCTTGTTAAACCTATTGGAATCAGAGACGATCGTGGAGAGTATAATCTGAACCTTGTTCGTGCTGTATCCAAGGGAATAATTGATCATACAAAAGCAGTTTTCTTCGATAAGCACACAAAGCATGAGATGTCCCCTCGTGAGGCTTACAGTTCTGGTCTAGTAAGCCTTCGCGGAGCTATTCAAGTGGCTGCTCTCTTCGATGTACCTCCATCATTGGTTGCTCCCTTAAAGAAGGTTGAGCACAAGAAGCGCGTAAGCCATCCCGGACAAACAGGATTGGAGCTTGCTTCTGATCAGGTGAAAGTGACACTTGCTGAAGCAATGAAACAAGGACTTATTGATTCTCGTAACCAACGATTCCGCCAAGGAGATATTGATATGAGCCTTGATGATGCTTTGAATCAGGGTCTAGTTGATCCGTCGAGTGAATGGATTGTTCCCTCGAAAAGCAATGGTATTGGGCCTACCATTGAAGAAAAAACCACAGAAAGCATTATGGAAACTGGACAACAACTTGCTCCTAAATTTTACCCTGATAAAAACATCGAGGAGTCTGTTACTACTGTCAAGCGTATGCGAACCACTGAAACCACAGCTTTAGGTGGTCCAGGCGGAGTTTCCGTATACAGAGCAATTACTGGTGGTAAAGGAGCAATAGAAGTGCCGATGAACGGGTACCACGTATACGAAGCAGAACGGAAAGGAATAATCGATCTCAGTACTGGTAATATCACATCACCTAATGTTGACCGTGCGATTTCCTTTGCTGAGGGTATCGAGTTCGGAATAATCGACGCCTCGTCAATTTCTGTAAAGGACCCAAATTCAGGGCGTATTATGAACATAAAAGAAGCGCTTGAGAAAAAGGTAATCACCGCCGATGGATCTGTATCTCACCAAGGACGACTCTTGAATATCGAAAAGGCTATCGAAACAGGAATAATCATTGTTGAAGCAGAGCCTATAGTACCTACAAGTGGCGTGTCAAAGAATGTAATCCATATTCCTGCTGGTGGTGGACCTGTAATCAGCTTTCGTCCCGTCGGATTACCTGTTGTTGAGGAACATGAACAGTCGTGGTCGTTTGATTCTACAAAGGGTATTCTCGTTGACCACATGTCAGGTGAACGTCTAACTCTAGAACAAGCTCTCCTTTCAGGGAAGATTGCTCCCGATGATCTGGCAGTTCGGGATGCTCTTACTGGACGTGAAATGCCGTTCGTAGAAGCTGAAAAGTGGGGTATTATTGATAAGAGAGGTTACTATCTTGACAAGATTGACAATAAACGTCTCTCGTTCACCGAGGCTGCCCAACAACATCGAATTTATCCTACAGGCGGGGTTCTTGAAAACGCTGGCGATGCCATCCACACATCCGTCAAGATGCAAACCAGAACGCAAGTTGCTAAGAAGGAGGCAAGCACTACTGGCGCACCTCATGTCGAGAATACTCTTGGCAGAGCCCTAACTCTTGGGTGGTACAACCCAAGCACCGGCATGTTTGTGCATCCTGATACAAATCGTCAGATGACCCTCAAAGAGGCTATAATAAAGGGGCTTTTCAACCCATATGACACATCTGTTGTTGACAAGAGAAACAACAAAACTTTGTCTCTCTTAGAAGCAATCGAGGAAGGCATCGTTGATGATACCGCTGGTACAGTATTGGACACCCAAACTCAAAAAAAGCATGATCTTAATACCGCGCTTCAAATGGGGATATTGACAGGAAAAAGTTTTGGCGACTCTCTTGAGTCAGGCTTGTTTTCAGGCCGTCTTGATCTGGCTACCGGTAGCTACACTCAACCTGGCGGAGCTCCAGTTCCTCTTCATGAAGCTCTTAAGAGAAATCTTGTAGATCATAACTCTGTTGTTGTACGTGATCCCACTACCGGAGTTGAATATTCTTACAAAGAAGCAGTTTCTCGTCGGATCGTTGACCCAGAGCGAGGGCTGATCCACAATCAGAAAACCAATGAAGCAACAAGCTTTCCACAGGCCCTTACGACTGGGTTGATGGCAGGTATTGGTTCAGCTTCTCGTCCTCATCATAGCACGCAAAAGATCGTGGAGCAAACGTTACAACTCACACCTTTCGCACCCCAGCAGTTCGTGCGACGCGGAAATGGTGATGGTCGACACGAGTATGTGGATCTTGGTGGTGGAAAACAAGTCATGGTAAAGGTGGTGCGTGGAGAGGGTGGGGTCGAAAAGGGAGAGTATGTTGACCCATCAACTGGAATGAAATTCACCATACAAATGCATGGTGATCCATTTGTGACCGAAACGAAGACTACGGTGAAAAGTACGTCTCAAGTTCAATCGGTTGAACTGGAACCACATGCTGAGTTTGTTGGAATTGACAGGATTAGAGACAAGAGGAATGGCCGCATCATGTCTTTGCAGGACGCAAAAAGAATAGGATTAGCGCGTGTTGACAAAAAGGGCAAGCAGATGACAAAAACGTACTCAGTTTTTCGATCGAATATCCAAAATGCGCTGAACAACGGAGTTCTTGATGCTCATATGGAGAAGATCAGTTTAGAAGATGCAATTCGAACGGGAATAATCGATATCCGTCAGTTGAGCTACCGTAATCCGAAGTCAGGTGAATCCATCTCTCTTACGCATGCTGCGAATATGGGTCTTGTTGACGTCACTCTCGCTGAAACATTACCTAAGGGAATCTGCAATCCAACGAATAACGAAAGAATTCCAGTAACAAAAGCAATTGAACTTGGTATTGTGGATGCCAGAACAGGTGAAGTTCGAGATCCTCATACTCGAAAGCGTCTCACTTGGTTGGATATAATCAAGTCTGTCTATCAAGCAATAACGAGTGATGGTGTGTTTGACCCCACGAAAGGTCAACGGGTACCTGTTACTAATGCGTTGAACGAAGGATTAATAGATACGAAAACGAGCAAGTACCATAACCCTATAACATCAGAGGACATCGATTTGAAGGATGCTGTAGATCGTGGTCTTATAGACAGTGGTACATATGATGCCATGACGAAACCCTTTCTCCATGATTATAGGACGAACCGTCATCTAAATTTGATTGAAGCTGTAGAAGCCAGGTTGGTCGATCCCAAAAACAAAACTATTCAACTTTCACGACATAGCATCGTTCCTATCGCAAAAGCAGTTGAAGATGGTCGGATACCTAGTGAAATCGGCGCAAAACTCCGTCAAATCGACAAATTGAACTTTGCCGAAGCTCTTGGCAAGGGGTTGATCGACGTCAGTTCGAATATTTTCACTGATCCTGATACTGGGCGACAAATGACGATCGCTCAGGCCATTGAGCAGGGATATATTGACACGGGGAATGTCGAGGCTATGGAAGGTTCCGATGAGAAGAATTTGAGCAATATTGTCAATTCCGAAGAATTTGATGAGAATTCTGGTCGTATTCGTGATAAGCGAACGAATTTGCACCTTACATTTAAAGACGCTGTTGATCGCGATGTTATCGATGGAGATTCGTTGCTTCATGATTTAGAAAGTGGTCAAACACTTACCCTTAGGGAAGCCCTTTCAAGAAGGAAGATTGATAACGATGGAAAATATATTGCCGGAAACCTGAGGTTGGCTTTGAGAGATGCGGTGAAAGGTGGTTTAGTCGCTTTGATCGCTTCTCCTATGCAAGCTGCTCAAGCTGTTGCTGAAGCTGTCAAACGACGAGACGCTGAAGGTTATAAGTTCAAGATCGAGAGCTACGACGGTGGTTACAAAGGTGGGCGTACGAGCGTGCCAAAGTTTCGAGAGGAAACTGTGATTAGATTAACGCCTCAGAAAGCCGAGCCTTCTCTCACGGTTAGAATGCGCCATTCGCAGACCGACGTTGGCGATCGTGCCAGAAGTCTGATCGACGACCCTTCAACACTAGCGGATTTACAACACGAGTTTTTGGCAAACTTAGAAGCGAATCGATTCGATACTGACGAAAAAATTATCGTGAACCCTGCTGGTGGTCAACGCTTCTCAGTCCGCGAAGCTGCGGAAACCGGTCTTCTTGACGTACTTACTGGTGAAATTGTCGTACCTGATAGTGGTAGACGATATTCTATACCGAAAGCAGTACATCTCAGTTACATACAAAGTGATGCTGCTAAACGTTTAATGGAAGCACTCAACATGTCGATTGAAGAGCTAAATCTCGTACAACAATCCGTTCCATCTCCAGGCGGTGGTGACGGCGGAATGACAACAAGGACGTGGACAAAAACAATCAGTTGGCAAGGACAACCATCTGCATTGAGAAAATCACGGACAGACCCACTAGCTCCATACACCACATATTCTTCTTCTTCGACAGATAGAATGCAAGCTGGCCCATCTTGGACCCGCTGACATATTCCACCCTTATTAGGATGATATCTTTTTTTTCGCTCGTTGCTTTGTACATTTACAATCCCATTCTATACGCACCTCAGCATTGTACTTATTGAAATCTCCTTATTCGTATATTATTTTCGCAAATTTTGAATTGTGTTAAGATTGTTAATTCCACATTATGCGATGTATTACCTTCTTACAAAATTTATCTCTTACAAACATCTACAGTGCCTTGAGAAGACGCTCAATATGGTTTGTATACATGTAATCGAATAGCATGGCTGTATAAGTAATACCGATACTGCCCTTTATTCATAAGATTGCTATTTGAATAATCGTATTCATAAATGTTTGGTATACTTTGCGAAAGATTTCATTGAGGGAAAGCTAATCCAAGGAGATGTGACAGATATATGAATTGTAATCCAGTTAGTGTGGAAGTGACGTCTTCACGAATGCGCGTATTATGTATATATATATACATATATATATCTGTAAACACACGTGTGTGTATATATTTACATATATATACACACACGTGTATTTACAGATATATATATATATATATATGCGAATTAACTAATTATTGGAAGTTATTTCCACAGATCTACATTGGAGGGGCTTGCCAAATAAGCAAATACTTGACTGAAGCTAAATGTTTATGTGTCTACAATATTTTGTCATTTCCACTAAGTTGAATATATGTATTATATGTGCTTCGTTCCCATAGTCTTTCTCGTAAGTTTAGGAAAATGTGACACGCGCTGCTACATCTCGACAGAAGGAGTTGTCCGATATCTTGTTGGATCTCACGAGGTTCCAGGAAACCATGTACTCTCAACATCTGAATTTTGATCTTTGTTCAGAGAACACAACGAAAGCTCAAAATGATCTACAGGTTTGTTTAAAGTAGAATCAAGGAAGTGCGAGTTGTACGAGAACGCATGAATGGAAAATTTGAAAAAAAAAGCGGAGCGAGTGGTAACTTTGTTTATTAGGACCGTAAAGTGCAAACCAAATGTGGTTTTCATTATATGTTTTCTAGTATACTCTCTAGTCATTGTAGGAGTTTTCATCTTAACAGATAACACCCGGTAGAATTGTTTTGTGGAGAGAATGCTTGAAAGATTGGGAATATGGTAGTCTTACATGAGAGACTTTCCCTTATCGTTCTAGACACAAGTGTTTCGTATGGAATGCTCCTTGGATTTGATTCTGTTTGAAGTTCAAGTGTAGGAGAAATCGAAGGCAAATTTCATACCTTTAAAATTGTCAACGGAAGTGTGATAAGCGCAAACATCAAGACCGATATTCGGGACACCATCCTTGGTTATTCCCCGGAATCCTAACGGTCCACTGGCTTCGGTGTTAGAAATACGAGTCTCGACTAAGAAAGTCGGAAAAGAATGGGCTGTGTCCAAAAAGAAAAAATGATAGGTTTTTTTTATTCGACGAGTCAAAGTATGGACGAACACAGTCAGTGCAGTTTTAATGCCGTTTAGTAATTCAGATTTTCCATCTACATAAAATTTTTCACTTGATCTGAGAGATTAGGTGGACATCATTTTGGGTAACTCTTGATTAGTATGTTGTTATGCGAAGAATATTCAACAAAATTTTGAAGGAGTGAATAACTGTTGTTTCCAGCCAATACAGTTTCCACTGTATTTTGTCGATTTGTTGAAAACACTATTCTGCGGCACTGTAGTGGAGAACGTCGTAGTGGATAATTCCATCTGTGAACACAACAAGTTAATAGCAACCCTGCTTTAACGCAGATATGGATTCGAAAGAGGTATGATTAGCGCAGTAGATAGAGGTACCCATAATACACACGTCGTCATTAGTTCGATCCCGCGCACACTGAGCTCATTAAGCCTTCCATTCCATTACGCTCAGAAAGTAGCTGCCATACAGCGTGGGAGCATTGCAGCACTGATTTGATACATCATTGTGCCACCGCAAATCATGGTATAGGCGAAGTACGTATTGTCCTCTCTAAGGATGTTTGATAACAAATTTGTGGTACGTCTCTAAAGAAAGAGATTGTTTAACGCCTAACGCCTTTACGCTTTATGGCTTCAAGAAGTGCTTCGGTGCTTTATCACTATCTAGTTATAGCCTAGGAAATTGTCAAACGCTTTATAGAATCCATATTTTTTGTGTACGTGTGTATGTGTGTGGGTGTGTGTACATCACGATGTGATGAAGAAGTGGATCCCAAAAGAAGCACAAAAAAGGTTTATGAACAAGATTCCTTTGCTTTTCGTTCACTTAATGCAAGACCGTCACGTCGTTTTTTGTTCCTTTTCTTTTTGATTCCGGCACGGTCGTAATGTTTCTATTTTGAGCTTACGCGTAGTTCGTCCACAAGCTGTTGAATATATTTCTTTGTACGAGTTTCCTCCAGTTAGTCTTCATCAACGACAGTTGGTCTTTAACACCTTCGTCTTCTTCGACGCTACCATCGTAAATGTAAAACGTTTGATGCAAACGTTATATCGTTCATTCGAAGCCAGTTTCTTGGAATGGAACACTGCTAATTCAAGCAGTCTATGCAACCTTACGTAGCCTGAAGTATTTAGAGATACATTTATAAGTTCTCAAGCCTATACCGGACTAAGCAAATATAGAAAGCACAAGACGAAATGTATCGATCATTTAAACGGACTTTTTAAATGATTGAACGAAAGTCAGTTTAAATAAATGCTTAATGCAATTTGTGCTTTGAAATGATCTGCATGGAATTCAGAATGGAAAGGACTATGTAGACAGAAACATCTAGTGTTTTCACTTTGTGATGTTAGCCTTTCATAGTGAACGTGTTAAAACTGTGCTTTCAGTCAAGGAAGTAGATTGAGCTTTCAAGAGAGTGTGCTTGAGAAAACTGCTATGGACGTTAAGTGTACAACTGCTATTTTGCTATCGAGGAAACGCTGCTTAGATCGTGGGAACTAGCCGGACATCGAAGTTCTCTGGTATTGTGTAGTGGTTGAACTCGGAGAGTGCAAAAATTTTATTCCTATTAAGGAAAAGATGTTTCGGCTATGAGTTGAATTAACACATAACGGACCATGTCGAAATCGGTACACACCTGTCAAGTGGTCCACTAATTTTTTTTTCTACCGCATTTTTTGTGTTTTAGCGATAGCTTGTCAAACATATATGTAATATCAGATGTGGCTCGTTAAAAGCTGTTCTTATTACTAATTGCAAAAAAACTCTTGTACGAGTTCAGTTTACAGCGGGAGACAATTGATGTTAAAAGAATATATCGAATAAGGACTGAGACCCATAAAGGGGTGCAGAAATGCATCTACCTGAACACTGAAGTTCAGTAGAGAGCTTTTCGTTAGGGTAAGACGGCAAACCATTCAGAAAACATCTGCAAAGTGACTTGGTGCTCACAACCGTCCATCAGTATGCTTCAGTACGGTCTTTCTTTCTAGACAGTCATCAAGCCATCTTTTTATCTCTCTCAGACCCACTCCTCTACTGTCGCATGTTCCGAGGAACAGTGCTTCTCTAGTGTCATAGACGGCTTTGAATGGCTGACGTCGTCCCGTCTGGGCAGGCCAATGGCGTCGGAGCTTATCCTTCTAACTTGCATGATCGAGTCTTCTATTGAGGACTCGGATGCAAGTGTACCTGCGTTGTATGTATAGCTCGTTACCTTAGTTCTTTGAAATCCAGGCAGCTTCCATTGGCCCTGGGATTTTAGCAGCCTTTCCGTACTCGTCTTAGCCAGCGCTGCCGAATCGGACGCTCTTTCGGGGTCAGGACAATGAGGCCCGTCTCACTGTTTAGCTTTTTTCATACCCACGTATAGCTTGCTGTGCTCTGAACTTGAGAGCTGTAATATACTCACGGGTAAGTTGCCAATCTCTCCTAGAGTGTATATGGAGCTTATTTGTTGGAGGCGACTCCTAACCGCCTCCCATATACTTTCCTATCACTTGATTGCAGGGTTTTGGGCGAATTGACTTATAGAATAGAATCCGCATAAGCGAAAGCGCACCCACGCACACATGAATGGGTAGGCCTCGCATATACAGAAAACAAGTGCAAGATAGGTGCAGCAGAAAGAGGGCATTCATCTCCTGGATCCACATCCTGCGTCTCATGGAGTAAAGATCGCTTTTGGTTCGCGGTTAACCCGCGATCCGCCACCTGGGAACGCGCCACGTAGCCTGGTGACTAACCGGCTCGACATCTGTCGTATGAGGGAGATCAGTGGTGTATATACATACATATGTATATATACATATATATATATACGTATGTATATCATACATATATATGTGTAATATATCGTGTAACTCAATAATAACTAATAACGGCGCGAATAATAATAATAATGGCATTTTGCAATTCCTGCGTACGATCAGAATCAACGGATGTCACTCAGAGATTCATATATACCAATAATCAATTTCCAGTCTCCACATACAACTTTCTTCCCTTACATACAATCAACAATCTTTACATAAAACTTTAATTCTTGCTTACTATAAGTAATATTCACATGGAATTTGTACAGGTATGAAGTCTGTTGAGACATTGCGCACATTGATATTAATTACAACGGCTGCACCTGGTGCTAACCTTTCTAGCACGTACAGCATCGCATTTCCGATCATTAACATGATACACTGTAGCAGCCTTGTAGCAACCCACCCGTGGTGCCACGTTCACCAACGAAGTGAGAAGCCGATGGTGTCGAAGCACTACTGTATCCACTATAGAAAAAGTAAACGTGCATCTTGAAGACATTTGGCGATGTTTTCCGCGTGCGTTCATTATATATCTTCTGTGTTTACCAGACATGCCTGAGTAGTCAAGTAGACGAACAGCTGTATGTACGTAAAATATAGGTGAAAAAATCAGTTGTTGTTCCCTTCATCTAGCAAATCGTGTATAAGCCTCATCACCACGTAATGCGGCACAACTCCTGTTATGAAGGAATCGTTACCAGTACATACCAAGGTTCAATAAGTGTAGCCGCTCTACCTCTTATCTAGAGTTTCAATAACTGTTCTCACTTCCGCTCCTCATGTGGGATGCATTTGCGGAAGTGGATCCGCCGCTTAAAGGTTACATTGGATTCTTCATTACATATGTACTTTCCAGGCATGTTCATTCTCCTTTTGTTCCTGAAGATAAGTTCAATTACACCAGCTTCTTGTATAGCATATCCTGTCTGTCACCCCTTGTCGGCAAATTTGAGGTTTACCAAAGGACTTTCAACTCTTCTCGTCGTAGCAGGGGCTGCGGAAGATTGATCTACAAAAAACAGCATTCGCACTCCAATAATCGCTCAGCTGTGGTAGCCTAACAGTGATCATCTTAAGGCGGAGACCGATGAATCACACGTGTCGCTTTCCACGGCGCATCGTTCTGTAGAGCATATCTTTTCGCCCCGTTCATGGTCACTTCCCAAATATCAGTTATAAAAAATTCATGAAACTTTAATTCCAAATGAATTTGAAATAGAGATCAAATCTTAGAGAAGTTATTACCTTTCTTTAGAGTGGTAGAGTAGTCTCTTTTACAACTATGTCAAGTTATTTGCTTCGTGAATCACCTGTTTAGAAAAATTACTGCAAGTTATCATCGTCTATGTGGGGCATACAAAGTTCAGTTTCTGACCAATAATTCACTATTAGGGGCGCTTGTGGCGCAGTGGTCAGAGGTGCCCTGTGACGCACACGTGGAGTCGATTCCCGCGTCCACGGTCCACGAGGCCTTCCATCCTTCGGAGGTCGAGAAGTTGGCACCAGACTTGTCTGGAACGATAGCAGCACTGGCTCGATACATCGGTGAGCCACCGCGAGTCATTCTAAAGGCGAGATATGCATTGAATCCTCTCTTACGGTGCTTAATGAAGTCGAATGTTATGATGGGTCGTGATTATCGCATGTTCTCGGTTAGAAGAAATACCGGAATACGTTCAGCATAAGTAGGAAAATCTATCGAAATCCCGACACTAATGTATTTGACAAGTGAAACGTAAATGTGCAATTTGGTGTTAACGTTATACCTTTAGATGGGAAAAGCTAAGCCGCTTTTCTATAATAGTGTAATGCTCTTAACACCATCAACCGTCAAGCTGCCGTGAATTTATTGCTTATTGTCGAGAAAACGAGAATTTACCGTATATCAGTCGTAGAAGAATTCGTGTTTTTTTCTTTTGGCTTCCAGAAAATCACTGCGGTAGTCGTCTATGTGTTAAATGTGCGGTGCAAACAGGAAATGAAGTCTAATAGTAACCCGTTAAAAATTAGGATCTTAGTGAATGTTTTAAGGACGCTAGCGAATTAAGCCAGTAAGTATATTGACTCACACCCCTGAGCGGAAATGGTGGATCATGTTAGTTGTATGGGCGTAGTTTTAGTAATAGTGGTAAGATTTGTATTATTTCAATTATTGATTCTGTCCTTATATTGTTCACACACATCGGTTTGAAAATAGATTGTTAAGCAATGATATCTGTTTATGCTCTAGGAACAAAGGTTAACACTTAAGTGTTGACACGTTTCAAACATGTTATGTGTAGTCTAAATTACAGAGTCGCTTCAGTTGCTATAGATCTATAGCAACGTTGTTTTCTGCAGACGTTCCTTAAGTGATGGATGTGGAACTGGGCATTTTTTGGGTTTGACTTATACGATTACTGCTATAGACCTACTTTTATTTAAAAAGATATGAATGATCGATGTACTTTCGTTCATCCATAAGCGAACACGAGGTTGTTACCATACATTTGACTGTTTTGACGCCTTCGCCTTCATCAGAGCCAATGGTCCGAGTCGTTGGTCCTCAGTTATTCGTCCTTTCGATGTGACGTATTTGTTGCCATATGGAGTCGAACCTTCTTCAGTGAAGATCATCAGTTTTGAGTTAAATTGTGTTTTGAATGGAAAAGTCATTAAAAGTCATTTGAGGGATCTTTAAAACACGTGTTTACTGGGGGAAAACATCGAGTAAGTGTTTGTAAACTCAGTTCAACCAGAGCAAAAAAGTTGAATTGGATTCCTAATCGGTCCACTAATCGACCAGTCCGCACCTTCTTTATTCATTGTCTTGTATAACAAAACTTACAAACTGTGCTTAATGAGCTGTCTTTGGTTTTGTGTTTTAGTTTAACTATGGAAATATAAAAGAATTGCCTTCTTCAAAAGGTTAAAGTGACTACTGGGTAAATTATAGCACATTGTATGAACAGGTACCCAATTTTTGTCTTCAGAATTCATGTGTGCTGTCTGCAGATGCAAGATTTGTGCTGACTAGAAGTGTGTAAACACAAAAGCTTGTTTCTAAATATATTTAACAATGAAATACAGAAAAGTCGTTGATATCTATACTTTTTGGTAAATCTTGGTATATTAAGTAAATATATATTATATACATACATATATATATATATATATATATGTACATATTCATATTGATATACCGTATATAACGTTTCTAGAAAAATGTCCTGCAGTTATCATGTTATGAATTCCCCGAAAGTGAAAGTGTTGCAGAACCTCATGGACTTTTTGGATTCTTGGCGAGGTCAAGCGGATATGAAACTAGCGGAAGTTGACAAGTTGTGTGTCGAGTCGGCCGACTTGATTTCACCCGAACAATATGACCTGCTTCGCGAGAAACAAACTCAGTTCACTGTCGACTATAAAGGTGTTCTTCGTTCCATGGAACACACACAAGAGAGGTAATTATCGGACAAGATTTGCTTTATAACTATGATCTTCATAGAACCTTGGTGATATTTTCGGACTTATGTGTATTGGGTTTCATGTAGTCTCAGTTAAATGTTATAAAGCGTATGTATCCGTATACCGAGAAAAAACTCAATGCTTCAAAAACTAAATGCGTGGTTACTTATTAATACCAGAAGCAATTCTTTGTGGTTGGAAATCTCCATAGAGTAGTTTAATTTTATGTGATGGTTTTTTTTTTTGCATTTGGATTCTGAAAGCCAGAAATCCATCTTGTAACATAGTGGAAGTTCGTGGAAAACCAAGAAAATTGCATGGAATGTTTCTGGAAGGGTTTTCAAACTCTAAACTGAGGATCGAAATTTTGAGTTGGCGTACTGTAATAACTGTATATGATTTATATTTGTAGTAAATTTAGTAATATAAACAAAGTGCAATGGCTTTATGGTTTATTTGAGGGAAATAAGCAACGTTCTCGTCGCCTGAGGCTGGGTTTGATCGATGCACTAATACAGTTCATGATTTATTATTCATAGTCGCACTTGAATTCATTGTCATTGGTCCTTAACTAAACTGTATTGTTGTTGTAATTTCAATCACCTGCCGCTGTGCACGAACTTTTTCTATCCATTAGGTATTGTAACTCGCTGTTCCAGGTTGAAAATCCTAGCCGGGCTTTTACTCGAATTCTCAGCGAAGGTGTCCTCGCTTCAGTCTTGGATGACGCATCATGCTAGTCGTGCAGCCTCAGTACGGGAACGATCCGCCGATCTCCATGGTCTTGACGAGGTCTGGTATATAAAAAGCACAAGCAAAGTGCCCTAAAACAAGTGTTATTCTCTCAATTTGGTTATTGGGCTCTTTTCCGTCGAAACTTTCGATTTTTTCTTAGTGGTTTTCTGCAATTACTTGGGAACCATTGGGGAGATCGTTCACAACATTTATATGCGTGCTGTATATGTTTATATGTTTACCAATTATATACCACCACTGCGACGTACGTTGAACGGTTGTGAAGAAAAGGTGGTTCTTGTTGCATAAAAGAAGCGAAGAACAGACTTTCGAGTCACGGCTTCCTAGATTTTCGGTTAGATCATGAGCCAGCCACTTTTTGAACTTCCTCGCTTTCCAGTTTGCTTCAAACGCAACGCGACTGCAGATTGGTCGGCGTTGGGTTCCTCATCAACTCCTCATATAATTGTTAGAAGATCAACTTCGACAAACGCTCTCAGTTTGTTACAGTAAACATTCATTGATCTGGCTGGTAGTTTACGACCAATTTGGAAGTCTAACTAGAAAATCGTTTGAATTTGCTTTTTGTCTCACATTATTACCATAGTCTAGGATACGTGTAGTCAGAAGCCAATAAGTCATGAACAAAAAACATAGGGCTCGAAATGCTCATTGAAATGGTTTATAATCCATCGATCTTTCTTTAGAAATATATTGCAAAATTAAGTGGCAAAGTTTACTTCTGCGGCAAGCTACATCTTAGTACCATATTCGTTAAGAGCATTCTGTTCGTAACACCAGGAAATTCGGAAAGAAGTCTTTTTTCTTTAAATTTTCATGTTTAGAAATCACCTTTTCTTACTCATCCACTTACACGACGTCTTAGGAATTTTGCTAAGTTCATACAGTTTGGAAAAAAAACCGCGGCAAAATATTCCTTCGGAACTGATTATGAGTGGGTACTAATTCATGCCGACCATTCCGCCACCGAGTTTTAGAGGTGACATGAATTTCGTGCGAATATGTGAAAACTAAACAGCCGAAATTTACTGCACTCTTATCGTTTTTTTTTGATCGATTAAAATGTTTGAAATGTGATTTTTGTGAACGTGAGGAAATTCTCAACCTTGCCGCCAACAACTGGGAGCACAGCATGACTCTGTATTTCTATCAGATTTTCTTTTTGTTTTGTTCTTTAGATAGGTGACTTCACGTCAGCAAACGTGGTGAAGTAATTTAGAAATACAAAGGAGTCAAACGTTTTATTTACTCTGCAATAACCCCCTATTGTGTTTGTTTTCGACGAATAATCACCCTTGTCGTGATATTTGCAATTGCTTGATAAAGTCGTTTTTCCTTTTTGGTTAATGGCTTCTTCAATGAGATAAGGTCGGTAAATGTCGATATTATCTCAAAAATTTTGATAGGATCTTTTTATACTAGGCTTAAAAATGTGAGCAAATTGTATTTCAAGGACTCGTCACGACACGGGTATGGAACTCTGAATTTAATTATATTTATGAGAATTCTGCGGCGGTAATATACTACTTGTTGAATTATTAAATATGTTAGGAATGGCCCACTTATTCTGAGTGTCAAGTATTTATAGTTCTTACCGATCAACAGAATGCTTAACTTGCAATAGCATTGTCAAGGTGAATCATTTTATAAGGGAGGTTATTATGCCGCTCAATGTACAAAGAACTAGTTTAGATGAGGGTTTGATGACTCGTTTTAACCTTGAGCAAACGTGAGGCTTTATTTTATTCTTTGTTCAAGAGCAAGCTGACGTTTCTGCGGATTTTGCCTTCTTCAGAGCCCGGAAAGGTCAAGTTGACCACAATGTACCCAACCAAACACTTCCATAACCAAACAGAAAATGACCAAACTTCTCTGTTTGGTTGGGTAGATTCTGGTCAACTTGACCTTTCCGGGCTCTGAGGAAGACGAAATTTGCCAAAACATTAGCTCGTTTTATCGTTTAATCTAGTTGAGTTTCGAATTTAGATTGTCTCATTTGTTTCATCTTAGGCTTAGTTTCAACTAAAAGCTCTCAAAAGGTGCAGCAAGGTTTTGCTGGTGAATTTCGCACGTTTTTAGGCTCGTCTTGACGGAAGGCGCTTACTAGATGAGGTCGGCCAAGAGGAATACCGTCTCAAGGCTATTGGTGCCTTACTTGTGAGGGTCGAACAGGAAGTCGATGCTCTGTATGAATTTGCGCCAACAACTAGTAATCGAGGCATTAATCTTGATAGGATCCACACCGTTTTCGACAAAGTTAACGTAAGATTTAGTGCATAACGAAAAAGTGCATAGCGAAAAATTTAGTGTTTCGTCCACTTTGCTCCTTCACACTTGCATAGCATGCAATCCATTTCGAGCGTTGCATGTTAGTACTGCATATTTTTACAAAGAACTCGTCCGACTAACATATTCTAAAACAGATTTTCGATGTTTTATCCGTAGATTTCAATCATGGCCTTGGACAGCGTTCCATGAACAAAGACGGTTTAATGGACCGGGGTCTATACCACACTGCTAGTTTCGCACCTCACTTAGGACAGCGTAAATGTCACCGTGTTAACCTTCTTATTCAGAGCTCAGTGTAAATACATGTTGAAATTCGCGTTATACACGATTTCTCGAGTTTAAGAATGAAGACCACCCATATTTTTGACGAAATTTCGAGTTGTGTTCTTGTGTTTGTTTCTTCCAATCACTTCGTTTTATCTCTTGTCAAAACTTTTCTCATGTATGGGAACACACATGATTTCAGGACGATTTCCTGGCTCTCCGTAGACAGTGCTCTGATTTAGTGCAGTTCCAGAACAAAGTTGGGAATTTCAGTCATGAACTGAGCGAACATTACAGGTGAGCGTTCCAACATTTTCTGTTGATTTTCTATGCAATGGAATTATTCATCTAGAAAACTGGACGAGTGGTTTTCAAGAGTCGAAGGTGGTCTTGTCCAGATAGATCGAGGATCTCGTTTAGGTGCTGAACAAAAACTGGAAACCTTAGATGACCTCAACGAGCAGGTATCCTTTCAAATGCCAGTTTTCTTGTGATTTGAAGAAAATAGTGTTTTGTGAACTTATTATTGATGAAATGGAAAAGTTTGTATACGTGTGGAGTTTTTAGGCCGTCGATGGGTACAAACACATCGATCTGGTTGATCAAGCATCCAAACGACTTCTAAGCGCCTTTGTAGGTTTGAATACTTATTCAGATCTGGCTACTCAACACGAGACGGAATCTGCTGCAAGGTTGAAACGGTTGGTTGGAACTCATACTTTTAAAATAAAGCTACTCTTCCCATACATTTTAATTCGACATATTCCCGTGATATTACAGACATGAAGACCTGCTGGTAAATATCCAACAAGCGTTCAACAATGCGACTGCCCAAAAAGCAGCAGATGAAGGGGTTCGTGATGCTGTTCATGATCTCTCGTCATGGTTAGAATATTTTGAAAGCCGAACACGAACAAATCGAGACATTCCTTTGGTCGAGGATGCACTCAACGAGCTGGTAAGTTGGTGATTAGCGTCTTCGGTCGTCCTTTGTTGCTTAAGTCAACTTTATCATAACTCATTGTGGAGATGTTTAAATTCAAATAAAGGAAAATCTTCAGGAATTTAAAGAAAATCATGACTTTTTGAACACTTATAATAAATGTACACTTAGATAAAATATGATACTTACTTGAATACTTGGATGGCCTGTCCTCACTGGCTGTGCGGACTCCAGAATAATTTCTAATTTTTCGGAGATTCGTTGGTTTAGCCATTGTGGTTCCCTGGAGTCCCAAGGTTAGCCTAGCCAAAGTCTGCCCCAGGTCGTCATCACCATAGGCCGTCGCAGACCTTGTAGAGACAGTGGTGGATCCTGGTATTGGTTTACTCGTAGCTAGGCTTCCTAATGGAAACGCCGAACTCCTCAGCTTGTGAGACCCTGCCAGAGGGAATGAATTCCCCGCTGTACATCACAACCGGACACCCAGGACCACCTAGTAACGACGAGGCAGTAAACCGTTGGGAGGAAAATATAATTATATTAAATATTAAATTAAATATAAGGACATGGCTTCTTTCTCCATGTGAGTTATGATTCTTTTCATCCTTTTTTAAAAATTTCTTCCCTGCAAGTAGAATTGCAAATATACCAAGACGACCAACTGAATAACGTTTTTACGTTTCCTTTCAAACATTAACAATCGTGAGTAGTTTCTTAGAATTTTGAACAATTGAATGGGTTTGACTTTTTTTGTTCTTTTTATTTTAACTGTCCATTTATTTAGAAACGGGGTGAGCAAATTTTACGAATGGAGTTGGACAGTCGTTTGGCGCTTGTTAAGGACCTCGAACACGACCTTCAACAGGTGGCCAATGGTGGCGCGCCAGTGTGGTTGGATTCTGCTCAAGAAAAGTTGGCAACAGCAATTCTGCGTTTGCAACGAAACGACGTTGAACTCAGGGTAATGTGAACTCACATTGTTAGTCGGTTACTAAGCAGTTAGCATTATTATTTCAGGGTTTCCACGACAATGTGATTGACGCACTCAATGGCGTTCTTAGCTTAAATACCAGTGGAGTTTCTATAAGTCGCTCTTGTGACGAAATTTTGACAGTTTTGCGGACAATGAATACTCGTGACGTTCAGCGTATTGAGAAACTCGGTCATGAGCTCAATTCATTAGAGCATCAAATGGTGGACATGAAAAAAACTGCTAAGGTGATCAAGGACATTCCAAATGTGACAGGGGTGGAGGCTGTGGATACCTTTGTACGTTTTCAATTTCTAATCCCATTTTTCGTTCGAATCATGATATTTGGTTCTGTAATATAGCAGGATTCTGATATTTCTAGCTTGAAACCATCGATGGGAAACTCTACAATGCAAGGAAAGAATTTGACGCGAAAATTTATGCGCAGAAAGAAATTGGTCGTTTGGAGGACGAATTTGAATTTGCTAAGCAGAAGTAAAAGATTTCGGATTTGCTTGAGATCTCATATATGTTGGTCCTATATTCCAGAGTATCAACTTTTCTAAATCAATCTGAGGTGGAAATTTCTGCTCTCGGTCCTATTTCCGTAGATCATCGGAATCTTCTTCATCAACACAAACATCAACTTATGCTGTTGGAAGGACACAAGAACGGTAAGATTGCCGTAGTCATACGAGACCTATGCTCCTATATGCCACGTATTACGTGTAAGTATTCAGCTATGATACTAATGGATGAACTTGATGCAGCCTATATGCGTCTTGACGAGGTTGAAAATTGTGGATTGGATAATAAATTGAGCGCCTACAAAAAGGCGGTTGTGGACATGACGGCAAGGTGCCAGTTTCCATGTCTATTGTAGACTATTGCACTTTTTATAATGCAATTAGGATCTGTTCTTTAATTAGCGTTTAGATACAATGCGCAATCGGAAGCACTGAAATCACGCACTGAGAAAATAGACCGGATCTATCAAAAATCGTTGGGATTAAAATCAGCACAGGACGAAGTGCGACTGTGGATATCGAATCAGTACAAAGCACTTGTTCGTTATTAGCTGTTACTAGGTGCATTGCCTTGTTTCGTGATAGTTTCTGAATAGACTCTCGATTGCAGTCAGAATACGACGTACCAACTACAACTGATGCCTTGCAATCGCATTCAACCGCGTTAGATCGTCTATCGAAAGAAAAACGACTTGAACAGCGACGTTTAGACGATGTGAGTCATTAATTTATTTGTATGTTTTCGGTGAACCATTCTATTTGCGAAATCAGTAGTATTACCTGTAATTCTATTACTCTTTCACTTTGAATTCATAGGTTCGACTTCATGGGCGTGAACTGGCTGGTGAAGCATTGTTACCTGGGGAAGCTGAGCAGGTGCTTGATCAAGTAAGGATGCTTTCTGATGAGTGGGATGAGCTTAGTGATCATATAGAAGGTTAGTGGTAATAATTAGGTGACTTTAAATGCCACGAATTGTTTTTTAGTCAAACATCGCTTCCATTTAAGCTATGCGAAATCGTGCTTCTCTATCTGAGAAGTGCATAGATGGATACAATGCTATGGATAAATGGCTTACTGCGAAAAGTCGAATGCTTGTTGCCATGGGTTCTCCCACTACAGATGCTGCTATCGCCAAAACACAAATGGGACAAATTGAAGTAGGAGTTGTTTTTAAAAATTAGCTTACTTAGAAGTTTGGTGGTTGAGCGTTTCATCTATAGATTCATGATATGATCGTGTAAAGAGGTGACGAAGTTGCCACAAAAAGTGCTCATCAGCCTTTAGTGGATGACCGTTTTGACGCCTTGTGACATAGTTTTCGGAGGACACCTAAAATTCATGACATAATTGGAATCTTAGTTCAGCTTTCGGCTGTAAATAGCAAGGTAAAAGTCACCTGCACCCATTCTACTTCTTGACACTTAGAGTAAGGAGAGTACCATTTCTTACTCATACGTCTGGCGTGAATTAACCTGTTTGGATATATATTAACTCATTTTCTTTGGTGTCGTTTACTTTGCTGTTTAATGTTTTTTTTTTCTATGTACATTTTCAACACTTAAGTGACGATGTGACTCCAATAGGAGTCATTTGTTAGGTAGCACAGTGGCCACTATGACTTCTAGTGAGATACGGAGGTCAATTCATTTTGGTAGTTCATTTTGGCGTGCAGAAATCGTTTTTATTCAGTTCTTGTAATCAATCGGTGGCTTGTTCAACGTAGAAGTGGTGGCGGGCGTCGGCCGAGGAAGGGTCTCTCCCCAACAGTAATATACAAAGAATCTTTTCTGGAACGACTTTACTGACCGGCAGTTTGACGTGCAGTTGACGGTTTTTTCAATTCTAATCTCTATAATGAATCGTAATTATCTTAAGAAATTGGTGGGTAGAAAAAGTACACAGATGGACTCAAGTGCCATCTGCAAAACACATCCACACGCTGACAGCAACGTGTTTATGTGACCGAACATAGTAACCTATAGCATATAGGTTCTCAACCGGTCAAGTATTTTGATCGTTGAAATATTACCATTTGTTGTGACGAAAACACAGCAGATTCACAAAGACATGAAGTTATGCGTCCTCCATTGCTGCAATTATTTAAAATTGGAAGTGCTCGCATAAGTGTTAATTTGTAAAAAGAAATTCCGGACTGCTTTAGTTGCTGTGCAGAAAAAAAGTACGCTGAAATTGCTTACAAAATACACAAAAAATCCAGAATGTAGACCGAATTGCATAGCACGAGGGAGGCGTGGTCATTAGGGAAGCAATTCGGCCGGCATGAGTTGGTATCGGCTTGTAGCGAATGTGACGACAACTTAGGCATTGCATTCTAGGTTTTAAAATTGAAGATAGAACTTTAAGCGACGCGGTTTTTTATAGATGATCAACGTTGAAATGGACAGTGAGGGACCTAACTTGGTGAAACTGAACAAGGCCATTCAGTCTGTTTTGGAGAGCTCACCTAATCCTAAATTAGCCACACTGGTAAATATTATTGTCTAGTACTTTGTGCATCATACCATATTGGATACTTTACATATCTGTTCTACACATCTCTCTAATCTTGAATTCTCTATCTTCCATAGTAATAGATTTCTCTAAATGACACTTGAATATACTCTACTTTTAAGGCATGTTTTAAATTTTTATATCGATGACTTCGTAACAAAATATTTAGCTCCTCTATTTTTGTTCCCTTCTTGAGCTCGAAACCACTTGTTTAGATGAACGACTTAAATTCGCGATGGTCGGCCTTCGAAAACGAACTGAAATTGAAGGTGCACAATATTCAACAAGCTTCATATTTAGGGACAGAAATAAAATCAGTCCAAAAGAAGATCATGTGAGTTGGCTTT